ACATGTATAATTACATCGGTATTATTATGTTTTCTCCACACAAACGCGTTAATTCAGTATCGTTACTATCACGAACGCAAGCACAAGTTGGACGAAGTAATTATCATGGCAAGTACGCCGACCGACGTTGATACGTAACTGAACTGAGAATTATTCGTGTAATCTACATCATCGTAATGTTCCGCAAACTGGAATCGATTATTTGCCACGTTGAACTTCCATTAGCGCCAGCCGGCTGTGTTTATGTATCTGACAGTTGTAACGTGGGTGCAATTAAATGCACATTGAAGCAACCGTAACTTTCTAGGTTTCTCTGTTCCGTTAAAATTATCTTGCTGCTAAAAAAAATCTTCTAAAAACAGAAGAATGTAATGAATATTCTTTGAATCCTGTAAATAATTATTACATTTATTGTACAAATCTGACAATAAAACTATACATAATAAAAAATGGTAAATTTGTAATCTTATTAAAATTTTCTGTTATATGTATATACATATAACTTAACTTTTTTTTATAAAAAAGAAAAAAATATAAATTATAAATTTAAATCAATAAATATAAATTACAAATGTAAATCACTTATAAAGTACAACGATAAATTAACGGTAAGTTCAAGTTTGCACATTGTACAAAAGTACAAAAACTTGGACGAAGCACACTCGTTTCTTCTTTGGTCGGTACAGAGTACCATCGTATACTATCGATCCAGAACAACGTAAACACCATGTAGGAGACAGTAGGAAACGAGAGATAGATGCGCCGCCGGGTCACAAAGAAACTAATCTCCAATACAGCGTAATGTAAAGCTGATGGCCTTTCGAGGCAGAAAAAAAACGACCTACCGGAATACGGTCAGCGCATCTTTTGCATCACAAACGGCGATCTTTCAGTGAAACTTGATCGGACCTCATCGAAACCGAAAAGATTTTCGGTAAGACATAGACAAAAAGGTTATCGCTTTCAGCGTGATTTAAAATATAAAATATAGGTTGTTGTTAAATCCAAAGTTTCATTCACGAAGAAAAAGATCTGTTCAACGTTTTCTTTATTTATTTCATCATTACCTAACGCACTTTTCAAATAAATGTTTTTAATTTTAAAAAATGTTTAAGCCAAACTCTCGATATGGTTGTTCAGATTAAGCGCAAGAGCAATAAAATAAATTTTATTTAATTTATTTTAATTTCTTTTTTAATTTTAATTTTAATTTTATAACATTTTATTTTGAATACAATTTATTTAATTTTTATTTTTATTTGCATTTGTATAATTGTGAGAAAAGTAAATTGGTTTAAAAAAAGAAAACAAGATAATGCAATTGTCTTCTTTAATCATGTTCAAATCAAAGAAGAGCATGAAGATTTTCTGTCTTTGTCTTGACAGCGTATTCGAAATGTCAGTGACATTTGCGTATGACTTCGAGGGTGTCTAGCAACAGAAATAAGGCAATACTGCAAAAACTTTACGGTAAACGTTTGAAAAATTTCTGATTGCTGGCGAATTTCTCATATTCGTGTCAATAATTACAGAATTTTTTCTTTAACAGTATAATCAAATTAATTTTTAATAACAAAATAATATTTAATGAAAACTTACTTTTTACTCTTTTTTTAGATTACTTTAGAAAAATAATATGATATTAATATACATATGATAATTAATGAATTAATTAGCCAAAATTTATTAGCGAAAACTTTACTTTTTGAATGAATAACTCTGGACATTATAAACAAATCAGAATTTATTATTAAATTATTGACAAATTAATTAAAAATTTAATTTATTGTATTACATTTTAATTAATTGTACCGTGATACTGCTTATATTTGTGATTTATTAGTAATATAAAATTATCGATCCCTTGTTCGCGGTGATGTCGGCGTTTCAAAATTAGTAATGTTGTGATGTTGGCACGAAAGTTGGTGCCGTTTCTCGTGAAGATGATGGTTTTGCCTTTGAATGTCCTTTTTATCGCTTCGCAAGGCCGCGTCTTCTTCAAATTCGACACATCCATTTTGCCTCTTCCGATAGAATCGAGACGCGGTTCTATGACTCAGGATGACAGCTCGGCAAGAATGCGCCCGGTCATCGCGATGTGATATAAAACCCGAACGGCCAACCATGACGAGGGGAATCCATTGGGTGAAAAGTAAACAGTCGTGTGTGACTTATCGATCGGACATCATCGAAATGCATTGTCGTCATTTTTCACAGCGCCTCTTTATGCAAATGATGCATCGATGCGTCTTACAAATCAGTTGCTCATATTGAAACTATTAAAAATTGCAATTTATTATAAATATAAATATAAAGAAAAAAAATGTTGTATATGAATACTGCGTGACTTCATGATTTCAAAATATCATCATAAGACGCTACAGGCGCCAAGATATAGAGCTTATCCGTAAAAAAGATAAATATGGCTTTTATAAATGTATTCGCATGAATATTTGAAAATGAATATAAATATTCTTTCGTCAGATGCGACTATTATAAAACCACTCATAGGTAATCGGTCATGTTTTATCAATTATCGATGCTTTTAATCGAACACCACTGCACAAGCAATAACGCCGTATCTGTGGCTCGCCATCAATTTTTTTCAACTTAATCACGCACCTTTTATTACATCGTGATATAGCTTTATCGAGCAGTTCGATGCAACACGTGTAAACTCGCGTAAACGAATGCTCGATGATTAAAACTGTCTCTCAGCGATTTATTTTTCCAGTACGCCGTTGTTTTATGTATTTGCGTTTCGTCGCATCCGTAAAATTACACTCGGCACTTTGTGATGCAAAATCTTTTCTTCGATGGGGAAACACTTCGATGGGTTTATGCTTATTAAGCGCATTATCGCGTGTCATCGATGACGAGTATATAACAACAATGTTCAATAGTGCGTATACATAGATGTACACAAGGTATCTTTAAACTTTGCAAGTCTTCTCGAGCGAATCAATATTTATAGCCAAGTAGTGCTCTTGCGCCATTCTTCAACTTGAAATCGCTTTCTGTTACAGAGGCACGAGCTAGAATAATCGGCCCGGCAGATATCTACGTGAAGACCGGAAGTCTTCTGACGTTAACGTGTCTCATGTCACAAGGTCCTCACGATCTGGGAACGGTAGCCTGGTACCGAGGAACTCAAGCGGTGGTGACATCACCGCGATCAGAAAATGACATCGACGCGGAGCCTCGCATAACCGTCGAGACGGAATGGAGCGACGCTCTCACGTCGAGGTACGAATGAATGATTAATTTCATTTGCTTCCTAAATAATAAAGCTCGAGCTTGGAAAATATTTGTGATAATTATTATATAATAAAAAATAAAATTAAATTACATTGAATACTATTATGCGATAAATAAAACTGCGCTTTGTATGACATGAAAGAAAACGGGCAAAAACTTATCAGTCGTTTTTTCATGGTTAAGTCACTAAATAAACCTGTTTACTCACAAATATCCCTCCCTCGCGCGACAGCGCGTAGTATAATTTATGTTTTAAATATCAAAAACTCAGTTAACGCGAAACTCGTTTGCGCGCTATGAACAAAATGGGAAAAAAGCTCGTCATGCTTGTCGCACATTCAGAGTCATCACTTCCGCACGGAGAAAACCCTCATAAACGTGCACGCCCGCCCGTGATATTGTTACGAAGTGCTATTTAATTTTTTACACCGGCTCCAGTCGAGTGAGCACGTCGAATAAATAAAAAATAAGGATCACGCGCGCTATATATTTGTGGCCGTCACATTTTAACGCAGTTTAAATATTTCAATTTTTGTCACAACGCCGCTGTAGCGCGTTTTAAAAGCTGGATCCTACAACGCGACCGGGTGCGTTCCACCCTGAACGATATGCACGCCGCAATTTTATAAAATTGTTCGGTGAAGGGCTCGCGATGCAATAACACGTTTATGCTGCGCTGAAATAAGCTCCGACGAGAGTAGCTGAAAAATGTTACATACAAAGTATTAAAACGTAATATTAAATTATGTTCAGATTCTTTTTTTTTTTCTTTCGACTTCATCAAGTGGTAAACATTCAGCACGCGCGATTGATTTTAGTCGTCCTGGCAAAATACTTTTTTTCCCTCGACGGTTCTTTCATCGAATCATCTGTCGCGTGTACAATATTTCATCGCACACGGTGTAACCGTATCTTTTTCGAGCGAAATAAATAAATGGTTTCTTCGCTTAGCCCCCTTCTCCGCGCCCAGGGGAAATAATGAGAAATAATGGCGTGCTAGGTGGTTATCCCGCCGGTCCTATACGTCGTCGTGGCTCTTTGAAAAACTGATCCTATGTTCAAATTAATTTATTTCGAGATATCCGCGATCTTACGGAGTCGTCTTAAAAATACGCATACCGTTAAAGTGATAAGAATGGCGGCAAAATATTTCCGTACATCATAATTTACAAATTATTTACTCACTTAATGATACGAATGCACATACTATTTAGCACAAAATAATAATATGCATAAAAAAATTTTAATTTTCAAAATAAAACAACGTACACGTATTGCAACGTATGAGAAGCCATTTTCCTATCGCGCATACTTCCCATTTTTAAAATGTGAAAAAGTATGTTAAAAACTATGATGAAAAAATATGAAGAAAGCAATCGCTTTGCGTGCTTGTGTTGCTATTTTTCTACTTGAATTTTCATTCGCTCATTATTCAATAGCTACCAGAGAGAAGACAGACATCGAGACGTCGTGGCGTCGCGTCGCGTGACGCGTTGATTATTCTAATTGTCCCGGGCAGGACCGAGACAACAGGGCCCTTTATCACGTGGCCTGCGCACCGTGAAGACGCATCGGACATGCCCCGCATTTCGGACGACCTGGCCGTTGAGCCAGGTCGCTTGTGTCGGACCGAATATTGCGCCGTCGCCGTCGCCGCCGTCGCCGCCGTTGTGTCCGTCGTGCGACGTCTCGCGTCCGTTTTTGGACGTGATTGACGATTGTCACGATGACACCGTTACATACCGCGCCGGCAAATTTACGGGACCGCGACCCAAGAAGCGAATTAATTGTCACACGGCTGCCGGTCCCCGCGACTTCCGTCGTGCACACGTCCGCTTTCAGTAAATCCGACATCCGGCTGTCTGAAAGTACGACGGTCGAAACGCTCTCGTGGTGACGGTGGGACATAGGCGCGACATGGCGTCAACAATACATTTTCATACGCGATTCATTAGCATGAGGTAAAATATGTAAAATGAAAGATCCCATCTTCCTTCAAATCTTTTGGAATTATAAGAGATATGAAATTCCGCTATTAAATTCGCATTTCCGTTGAATCTATCAGTCCAAGGATAGAATGAAATGAGGAATTTATCCGTACATTATATTACCCAGCAGTGACATTCCTACGATATTCCCAGACGCCGTAGATACATCATTCATAAAAAAAAAAATCGAAGTATTCAAATTTCTTCGTTAAAACGAGAAGTTAATCTACGAGTCTGATTTCCAATCCTGGAACTTCCGCACACATAAATCGTCCATGCTGTCGATAATATTAGCGCATAACCGGATATCCTTTTATTCCGCCGCGCATCGAGATTATCCATCTCTTTTCACGAGGCACGAAGATGGTGGATTCGTTGTCTGCGAGGAGCTTAGTCTGGCTATACGTCGCTATACGTTTTCATTATCCCCGGGCTCCAGCGAGTCTGCCGTTATAGTTCATTGTCGCACCGGCATCGCAATAATTATTTCGCGGTACATTCAGTTCACGGAATTGCGGTAACCGCATACGGGACAGCGTTACTCGTAGCCTTAAGCGGCGGTTATTGGTCCCACGAGTGCGATGCATTACGACGTTGCGCGATGAAGCTAACTACTGAAATGCGAGAAGTAAATGAGTAATCGATAATCTGTTGGGAGCGGCACAACTTCTTCACGTGATGTTATATATCGTGTAACGTGAATATCCACGCTGTCCACATATACCCTACATACACTCGGCAAAACTATGTCCCGCTTCTTATCTAAAACCGATGGCCTGCAGCACGCGAATATTAGAGAGATGAGCCGCCAAAGATAATTAACAAAAGATCGGCTATTATTAATATTTATATAACGGACAATCTCTATATTGGCGATATCAATTGGAACTTTTCTAAAAACTTTGATACCTACATACTCCCACCCAGTGGTCGTTGAGAAAGATACGTTAAGTTAAATCTTCGCTAACTTTTTTTTTTCTTGGTTTGTTCAAATTGAAAGTTTGACAAAGATAATTATTGAACTTAAACGTAAAAACTTTGGAATGATTTTTCATTCGATTATCAAACAATCGAGATAATAATTCTCTCTTGACGCGACGGAAGTCATTCGTGGTATATTTAGTTCGTTTTTCCGGCCGGTTTGTCGTTAAATTGGCCGACTGCCGATTAACTTTTATGCGTCCGCGACATTACTCTCTCGCGCGCATATTACGTGCTTATTCCTTTTGCGATTAACGCAACGCGGCCGTGCAGTTTATTAATGCGTCTCTGCGTCCAGCTGCAATTTTCTCTCTATATTGCGTTCCTTGCGTTCAGACCAATTCAATATTCATATTTGGAGGAACTGTGTGCTCGACGCTTACAAAACTCTTCCGATACGCGATACACCACAAAAATTCGATCCCGTTCCGATTTCTATCGGTCTGATCAACCCAATTTGCTACGTAACAGTAACGAGAGTATCTAAAAAACGAATGAAAAAATTTCCATTCCTCCGTTCTTCCTCCCTCTCTCTCTCTCTCTCCTCTCTCTCTCAGTCTTCTCTCTACTACGTTACGTACTACGTACGTACTACGTACTACTACTACTACTACGTACTACTACTTACGTTACTACTACTACGTACGTAACGTACGTACGTACTACTACGTTACGTTACTTACGTTACGTTACGTTACGTTACGTTACGTACGTACGTACGTACTACGTTACGTTACGTTAACGTTACGTACGTACGTTACGTACTACGTACGTTACGTCGTTACGTACGTACGTACTTACGTACGTTACGTTACGTACGTTACGTACGTTCGTACTACGTACTACGTTACTACGTTACGTTACGTTACGTACGTACTTAGTACGTACGTACTACGTTACTTACGTCGTACGTACTACTTACTACTACGTACTACTACTACTACGTACTACTACTACTACTACTACTACTACTACTACTACTACTACTACTACTACTACTACTACTACTACTACTACTACTACTACTACTACTACTACTACTACTACTACTACTACTACTACTACTACTACTACTACTACTCTCTCTCTCTCTCTCTCTCTCTCTCTCTCTCTCTCTCTCTCTCTCTCTCTCTCTCTCTCTCTCTCTCTCTCTCTCTCTCTCTCTCTTTCTCGATTATCATCGTCGAACGAATTGATTGAAAACAATATAAACTTTAAGTGAGAGAAACTGATGACTATCATGATATGTGATCGTAAAAGTTAATTAACACAAGGTAGATATATAAATATTATCGAATGTTCCGAAAGATAATAGAAATTATAATAATTCTACATTGTTAAATATTCTTATAATTTTTAATATTCTATTGAATATTGTTCCAATTATTGATATGATAATTATTGATATAATTACAAGTATTATTATGTTATAACAATTTTTCAATAATTAATATTTTATTATTAAAAATTGCAAATTTTAAGATTTTCATAGACCGATGATATATTACTAGTTTAATTATCAGTATTGCAACGGTAATCTTAACTTCGGTGTAGCGAGCAACATTCTTGAAATATGCAATTTCTGTACATTTATTGCATACCTCGTTTCCATCGTCTACATACAGTGTGCGGTTTAATTAATAATACAGAAATATCTCTAGATCGTATTTAGAGATCTCGAAATATGATGAAATTTGCGTCGTGCATATCAGGGATACCTTGCACAAAAATATGCACAATGCACTATGCAATGAAGAGAATGGGGTAATTGGACCGCTACCGCTAATAACGTCTAATGGATAATTATCACTAAATTAACGATACTTTATTATTAGTTGTGTCATTAGTTATTTTATATGATCCCGTAGTTTATACTACCTTGACGAAACTATATGCCGCTTATATACACGACATCAAAACAACTATATAGAATGCATACACGGCGCGATAACGATCCTGTTGTAAATTTTATGAACGCTTTTAAATATTCCATAATAACGCGAAATTATTTCATGATAGAAGCAGTTTATGAAATAAAAGAAACATGTGATAGTTTTAGAACATTGTACACGTTAGTCTCTCTAGAAATACATTTAATTTTATTAAAAGTAGAACGGAATAATATTTTCTTTATCGAATTTGTATGTAAAATATTCATACGTACAATTAATTTTATATTTCTCATTTCACATTTATCATTTTCAAGAAAATTTTATATTTTTTATCTCGGGTAATAGCTTTTCTTTGAGCACAGACGCGAGACGAAGGAAAATCCTTCACAGAGCAAACTTCAAAGAGAACTTCATATATGGCATCTCTAACGACCGAGTAGTAATTTTTTAGCTCCGTATGCGTTACTCCTTCTTTTATTGTATTTTTTGCTCTTTGATTAAGATTAATACTCCCCGATTTTTAACCGATCTTTACCTTAAGTTACCTCTTTTAACTAAGCCAACATGCGCTACGTGCAGATATAAACAATTTTCTGTAAACAGAAAAAAATGTTTCTACCCAGTTACCCAAATCCATTACTAACACAATAAAATGCGAATTTATTAATTTACAATGTGTGTGAAAGCGACACGAATAACATCTCTCTCGTTCAACAATTTAAGCGTTTCCTTTCTTTGAAAACAACATTATTGCATTGTAAAAAGAGCGCGATCTTTATTATTACCTGGAAATTTTTTAATCTTGCATTTACCGTGACCAATTTAATGACGGTTACACAAATCAGATATGCATTGTAATATACATATTCCATGTACTACGTAGCGATAAACTATATTACCTTTTGTGGCAGATTGAGGATCACGCATGCGAAGCCCAGTGACTCCGGAAACTACAGTTGCGTTCCTACCGTGGCAGAGAGAGCGAGTGTCAACGTGCACGTGATCAATGGTAAGTCCGTCAGAAATGCCATAACTGATCCACGCGACAAGATAATCCCCGTACACGCGTCGGTCACTTATCCCAGGGTTGCCGCGATACACCCGGCCTTTATTTATCATAGTTCATTAACCCTTTCACGCATGGCATATCTTTTTACCGACGATTTAATCTTCACGCACGTGGTCGTGTAGGAAATTAAAATGAAAGCGATACTTCTCTGACCGGAACGTTCAAAATAAATTTTAATTTCCGATCGTTCAAGTAAATTGTAGATTTAAGTCGCCGCTATTTTCTCATCAATCAATTTTTACATCAGTAATAGATCGTGTTCTATTTTACGAACTTACGTATATATCAAAACAACATTTTATTTAATTTTTTTCTATTTTACTTTTACTTTCGTACTGAATAAAAGTTAGGAAATTATGAACGAAAGATAGGAAAAAAAAAACTAAAGAATTTGTAAAATAAAGTATTCAATTTATCATCGAATTGCAATGGAACATAAATCTCAATTGTAACATATATTTTTCGCATACATGTAATAACTTTTTAATTATAAATATGTGTGATTATCAAAATTGTCGAAAGTTTTATTTTCCTCGGAAAAAAGCGAGTGATTTAGCGAACAATGCGTAAATCATACACACGTGGCACATTGTCAGCTTATTGTCCGCATAGCTGTTGTTTTTCACGAGTGTTTTTCCGTTCGTCTTATGATCATCTGGCAATGTATAAAAATAGCTCAATATCGTCGACGGCATTGCGTTTTCTGGCCGAGTCTATGAAAAAGCGTAATATCCACTTAGAGGAAGACTCGCGAAGATAAAAGGCAGAACGTGCTGGCCGTTTAAAAAGTGGGTTCTTTGATAGGCAATCGAACTCAAATTATAGAGAAAACCTCGACTATCTCGACTATCTTGATCATTAACTGCCTCATAACTGAGAAAATTATAATCATATAATTAATTTGGAAATAATAAAAATATTTAGCCCTTTGGTTTATTTTTCAATAATTTTTTATATTTATAATATAAATATATATCAAATTATTTGTATAAATTATATAATTATTTAAATTTTTATATCTTACATAATTAAATAATATTATTTTTCTTTACACAATTTTGTCACGATTAATCACTTTTAAATATTACATTTCTTATAATTTATAATTTATTCATGAATACCATTTTCATATTTATTATGTTAAAGCATTTACAAGATTTTTCTATTTCTTTTCTCAATTTTGTTATAGCGGAAAGAAAGAAGAATATAGAATATAAAACCAGGGAAAAAGAGTCACGAAGAAAAATTGTTATTAGGCAACTCTCGTCAAATCGATCGATATGAAATATCGTAAATAGAAATAGACGAGTGGAATGGTTTGTAATTTACAAGCAAGTGGGCACAGATATCAAATACGTTTGCTGTACCATTTTACTGCCGATCACTATTTTTCTTTTGTTATGCCGGGTTCTAACAAAACGTAATTCAATTCTTGGCCGAGGTTTGACCCGTCCGGCATCCACCTGCCTTTTCAGTGGTAATCTTTTCATCCAACTAAATTCCCGAAGGATATAACTCCCGGAGTTGCATCTCAGAGCACGTACTGTATGCGTAGCAGATATTTTTCTGTATCAAGCCCCCGACCTATCCGTGATTATTTCGTGCCTCTTAAATTCGAAGAACGAGATTCTCTGCCAGCGAAATTTCGATGCTACGTGACATGCTGCTTTGCCAGCATTTTAAATAACTGATTAAATAACGACTGCGAAAGCAATAATGTAGAGCAAAAAATTAATAACGTAACAATGATAATATGATTAATAACATGAGACTAAATTAATAACGTAATAATGAAATCGTTGAATATTAGAGAGAAAGGTAACACAAAATATATTTAAAATGTGTATTTCTTAATGACAATTTAAATAATTATATCTGTGATATACTCTTTTTTTATGATTTCTTTAAAAGAGGAAAGAGAGAAAGAGAGAGAGATCTGTGAAATTAGAACAATCTCATTACATAATGAGATTGCAGAGAATTCGGAAATTTTTTATACATTCTGTTCCGAATATATCGCATGGCTGTGCATGGCAATTGGAAATTTACGGCATCGCCGAGTCGTTAAACAAACGTATTTCAACGCAGGCGCGCTCTGGAATGACTAAAACAATGCAAAGCGCATGTTTTACATTAATGCAAGCGTAATTAATGCACCGATATCTTTGTTGTGTGGGGAGATATAATAATAAACCGTTTTCTGCCTAAGTGTAGCTGCTATTTGATTAAATTTGTGTGCAATTTGCACTACGTGGTCCAACTACAATGACCATTCTCCACCACAATAATTCTCAATTACTTTTTTTATCTCAAAAAAATAATATTTTTTTATTTCTTCTATCAATGGAGAGATTCTAAAACGTGTTCTGTGAAAAAACATGTAATATTTATATCGCTTATAGGTGTGTAAAACAAACATGTTTATAATATTTTTTTGTATGTGTCACATTGGCATGTTTTTGTAAGCTGTTAATTGCTAATCGCTGATTTATATAGTGTAGCAAACAGTTTTCCGTATATTCAGCATGGTGCTTTTACATACACATGCGCATTTGATTGTGTAAGACTCTAATTCTACTTATAAAAAAAAGTTAATAACCCATTTTCATGTTTAACTTATCTACAGCTGGATGTGAATTATGCGTACTTGTTAAAACTCTCATATTTTATACTTTCATTCCCTAGATGAAAATTTTTATTGCGTGACTTTTATAGCGTATTCAATATTTTACGCAGTTTTAATGATGTCCAATTCCATCGATTTATGATAAAATTTTAGTTGCTTCCTTTTATTACGGTCACTAAGTAAATCTTAGATGTAATTAAAAGAGAGTTTATAATTGCAATTAATTAAAATCATATTTTTTTCTTCTGTATACTTCTAATGTTTTATGTTACTTCATGTATATTAGTTTTCAAAATTAAATATGAAAAAATTAGTTCAATTTTTCCCTTATTTAAAAAATAATCTCTATAAAACAATGCTGCATTTATCTTTATTTGTCTGCAATTTATCTGTTTCATCCGGCTAATTTTTTGCTAACGATAAAAAATTTATTTCTCTTTTAAAACATTTAGTATATGTATAAAATATGTATAAATTTTATAATAAAATTTAATAATTAATGGGAATTTCAATTTACGGTTAAAAATCGTAAATAAGACTGTCACCGAGTTCTTTATCTAAAACCTTTTTGTAATCTCGTATGAAATACGTAATTTCGAGTGTCATTACAGGTACCGAAAATGTTATTTTCCTTTCGCTGTTATTCATTATGTCGAACGGATTTGCGTAAAACGCTAATGCGTGCGTGCTTAATGATTTTTGCGTAAAAGCTTCAATTGCCGTACAAGGAAATCAGCACGAAATGTCAATTATATGGAAATTGACGAGCGAGAGAATCGCGCTGCCACGTTGAATAATTCGCGAATTTGTTCGAACGGTTATAAGGTGCACTCTGAATGCAAACACGCGGAGTTCGCTGACAGTTCGCGTACATGTCAAATAATTAGATGCGGCAGACGTGCGGAATGAGAGGAAAATCGCACGGTTATTATTATCGCAGGCGATTTTTCCTCTATCGAACATGATCGACGGAAGTGATCACATATCGCGGTCACATCGCACATAAATTCTAATTTCATTTATTATCTCTGCAATACGCATTTATGAGAGGTAAAAGGTATCCGTTGAACATATAAATATCATAAGTTAGTATTTAACGGGCTAATTTTTTTTTCTAACGATGAAAAGTTTATTTCTCTTTTAAAACGTTTATTATATGTATAAAATATAATTTGTACATTTTCAAGAAAATGTAATACTTTACAATTTTTATATTATTACACATTATTAAAACACATTAAAATTGCAATTCCATTGTTATAAACTATGAATTTTGTTTTGCGCACAGGATAATCGAATTTTCTGACGCACATGATAATATCAACGATGATGGTATCCGTCCTCAATGGAATCGCGTTTGATCGACTTCTGGCGCAGTTGATAATTTTTATCAACGCGAAAGTTAATTACTTTACGCGAAATTGATTAAAGCGGCTCTCGTTTTATAGCGCAAAATTCTTTTATTATTCATACATGCAACATCAGCGAATAGATAGAGCGGCGAATCAGCAAATTTTCTCTTAGTGCGAAAAAAGGTTTACTCCTGCAAACATGTCCATCGATTGAAAATCGCTATTGATCTATCGACAAACACCATTGAATGTTGCGTATCAAGCTATCGGTTTTAATACATCGTTCATTCTGTTTCACATGATTTCAGTATCGATTGTTTTTTTGCAAAAATGATCGGCTAGATCATTGAAAAAGTTATTATTTTTGTGTTACGAGAAGCATATAAGCATAGTAAATGTAACAAGAACAAAAGTAATCCTTAACTTGATTATACCGCTCGCTTCTATAGAAATTACTTATGCGTTTGTGATTAACTCGAATACTCCAGTTTGTTGGCAGCAAAATAATTCGTGATATTTGTATTTATTCGTGGCATTATTTGTAACAAGCGACGGGAGTAAATGAAAAAACTCACCAAAACATCTCGAGTCCTTTAGTACAACGATTATGACGCACGCGCAATTTCTTACGGGACACGTGGTATAATTAAATTGAGTTTCGGGTGCTGCTTACACAATGTCGCGTAAACCGTAAATGCCGCATTAAGTCTCGTAAATTTGGATTAATCCGGATTATATGGACTCGCGCGCTTCCAGATACTCTCAACTCAACAAATTTATTGTGAGTGTGTTATGAATGTCACGTACGATTGATTACTTCAAACTTGGTGAATAATATTCAGTTAATTGGACTCGTAAGAAATTATACGGAAGTGTTTCTGGCCAAAGAAAAGTTTACACATTTAAGTTTGAATTTATTATAATCGATTTGAAAAATTTAAGCATTAGAAGAATAAAGCAAG